ACGTGGTTGGACACGAGACGGGGATCGAATTCCGGTCGAGCGTGGCCCGGCATACCGAAATCGAATGTCCTGTTGGCTATTTCATCGTCCAAGAGCTTCCGAAAGAGCTTAATCGCTTCCGGGTCATCTCCCTTTGATCAGTTTCCCCCCCATCTGATTTATCATTAACGAGGATCGTCCCCTGCGAAACCGGATTGCGCGAAATGCTCGATGGAAACGCGAAACGAACGATAAGAATTTCGCTTAGATTCATTGGACGCGAGGTTTCTCATTTAATCGCACGAAACGAGTATTAAAATATCCGAAACATGGTCTTTTTCGGTGTCTCGATTTTATTTAGCGGGTCTAATCAAACACGAAAAATCGTGATGTTAGACGATAACATATGCTAGAGTATTATCGACGTTGAAAGCATGGAGGATTAACCGCGACGAGTAGGAAAAGTGTTCGAAAAGTAATCGAGGAGGAGAGACCGCGAGTGCGGCCTATCTACCTATTACTGGCATTTCCATACGCGTCTTGAGTCGCTTAATTGATCACCGATCGAGGAAACGAGGCTTTGATCTCGCCAGGAATCCGTCTTATGTATTATTGAAGAGGCTCGTTTATCCGGTGTGGATAGCGATGTACACTGCCACGACGATTCTGCGCCCTGATTACCATCGACGCATCGATACAGAGAGAGACAGATAGAGAGGGAGAGAGAGAGAGAGAAACGTGCACACATATGGGTGTAACGCACACTTCGGGCCGAGCAACGCGACCGACCGCTCCCGGGTCATGAATTTCGAAAGCGGTCTCTCGTCAAACGATCGAACGAGAGATTCCTCGGTCAATGTATGTATGTGTATATGTATACGACACGATGTGAAGAGTTGCACACCGTCGAAAAAAAGGAGGATTTCCTTTTTTTCCATCGCGGATCGCGCGATAAACGCGGGGCGACGAGATTTGATATTCCGCGATCACGCGCAGGTGTACAAGGGTGCAGAATCGTGGAGAAGGGCGGAGGAAAAAATTGGACTGGAACGGTGGTGAATCGAGGCAACCACGAGGCTACGGCCATTAAATATTGTCGAGAGAGGAGTAGTGCGCGCACGAGTTGCTCTCGCCTGGCTTCTTTTGTTCCACGACCCCAAAGGAAACTTTCTTTCAAACCGAAGACCGGTTTAAATATCCTTTGATACGGTATTCAAGCAAGCCCGGGCAAGGAATGGGAAATAAGATGCGCAAGGATGGCGCCTTTAAAGGCGAGCGAACGAGCTGGCTGGAAGAGAAGGAAGGGGGAAGGAAAAAAAGGCGAATCCGCGAAGGCGTCGACGAGTCGCACCTCGCGATTCCTTTTGTCCTCCAAGTCCCTTTCCTCCACGCGTTATTACGACGACCAACGATGCGTTTACATCGATATAAACGCGATATATACGCCGACGAGATCTCTTCCTTCCAACTGTATATCCTATAACGGGTGAATGGAATGAGTGAGAAAGAGAGAGAGAGAGAGAGAGAGAATTATTACGAGAATTTGAAGAAAAATAGGGACAAATAATCATAAATTTCGTGGAAACGTGCGCGTAAGAGACTGTGTGTACTTACGGTGGAGTGGAATGCAGTGGAATTTTCTCGATTCGCTAGGCTCGTCGTCAAGTGAACGTTCCATAGGATCAGACGAATGGAAAGATCTTTGTTACGCGCAACTGAATAAATCGGATTCCGCTCCGCTTTATTTTCTCTTCCTTTATTTATTCCCTTATACTCCACCTGACTCGTCTATCCGAGTCAAGCTCGGGGGGGGGGGGGGGAGGGAGAGAGAGAAAGATCTTCGCGTCGCGAAAAAAAAAATGGAAAATTCGGGAGGAAAGGGGTTGATCAACGCGTTTATCGAACCATCTCGTAATAATTGTCCGTGAAACTGCTGACCGAAAAATTATCGATTACGCGTTGCAAGTTAAAAAGAGTCGCGTTGCGACGGGAAGACGGCGACGATGCTTTTAATAAAACGACGACAAAGTCGACCGCGTTAATGGAAGGAAGCGACGTCGGAATGGCAGCCAATATACCACGAGAATCCCACCGCAATAAGGGTTTCTTTGCTGATGATTGCAAAAGTTATGCGAGAATGCTTCCGGCGAATGAATGCTATTTCACGATCCCTTTTCTCCTTTCTCTACACGCACACACGCTCCATTCGCCCGATCCCCTTCTTTACGCGATTCACCGATTATCGTCCTCTTTTCTAATAATCCAATCCAAATCTATTTGGGGTATCGCGATATATCGCTCGTTTCTCCAATTCGTTCGAGGGATTATTTTATCGGGTAGGTCGTCGGATTAATCGAACGATTGACCGATTCGAAAATATCGGCCGAGTGGAAAATACGGACGATCCGATAGTGAAAACAGTAGATGAGCGGCGGATCAACGCGTTCTCTCGTCTCGTTTCAAACTCGTTATTAATTATTCGGCTTTGGCAATCGACGAGGGGAGCGAGGTTAATACGCTTACAGGGATCGCACCTCTCGATTCGATCGAGATGGTCGACGAGCTGGCTCGAATTTTCGCGAATTCAGCCGCGGGCTTGATCCCGATAAGTTTCGCGCGGCGAGAAACGGCGACGAGTCACGTAGACGCGCGGCTTGTCGTTGAATCGCCGCCCTCCTCTCGTGATCGATCCAAGAGCAGAGAGTCTCATCCATCCGGCTTCCTCCCTTCCTCCTTTATCGTCGCGCACAACAATGCGTCCCGCGACCAGCACAATTAACCAGGCTTTCGTTCAAAGAAGCGGGGAGGAGGAAGAAGTCGCGAGCATCGAACCGGCATCATTAATTAACGGAAGTTAATACTAATTAACTGGGTGAACGAGAAGGGCGCCAGTTATCCTCGATACTCGCCGATGATTCCAAGAATTAACCGTCCCCTTTCGCGACCGACAACTCTCGACCCGGTCGCTGCTTCGTCGTCCCAGCTATCATCCCGTGTTTACTACCGTCGCGACGCTCAATTATACACATCGGCGCGAATTAGCAGTCGGGGCAAGAAAATGGAATTCCCGTAATCTCGTCTCGGCTCTTCTCCATGCGACGCGTTTAGTCGAAAACCTAGCGTGTCTCGAATCGGGGAGATAAGAAGAGAGAGAGAGAGAGAGAGAGAGAAATATCTCGAATCTCATCGATTTAACAAAGTCGCGGAGCAACGAACTGTTACGTCGAGAGGAGGAGGAGGAGGAGGAGGAGCAGGCAGCGAGGTAGTTTGCAGAATCTGTTTTGAAAATAGAAACGGCTCCCTCATTGAGAAGCTTTAGACGCGCTGACTGGAAAAGGAACGGGGAGGAGAAAGGGCGGAAAAGAAAAGAGAGA